GTGCGTTTCTCACTCCTTACCGCGCGAACCAAGGTGGCTCCACTGAAGGGCGCTACCATACCACGCCTGGAGCTTTCGGCAGCGCTATTGTTGGCCGAGACTCTTCGAAATGTACGTGCAGCTTTGAGTTTGGTTGAAGCCTCATATTTCTTATGGTCGGACTCTGCGATCGTTTTATGCTGGCTGAAAAAGCAACATACCACATTGAAACCATTTCTCTCGAATCGGATCCGCAGGATCCAGGAGCTGACTTCCGCAGATAGGTTGCATCACGTCCGCTCAGCAATGAACCCTGCCGATTGTGCTAGCCGAGGCATATAACCCGCGGAGCTGATGAGCCAACCGCTTTGGTGGCATGGACCTGATGGTACAGACGCGTACCCAGGTAGCCAAGAGATCCCCCTTAGCCACGACGAATCTAAGGCGCTCTGTGCAGAGGCCCGAATAGTTTCCAGCTTTACCAGCGCACTTCTTTACCAGCCACTGGAGACTCGGAGACCAGATGGGCTGGTCATGTTGTTAGTAGAACGCTTTAGCTCGATTCAGCGATTACTGCGCACGGTAGCTATTATTTTACGTTGGTTGCAGATACGCCGACCTTTCCGTCAAGCGGTCATAGGAGCTCGGGAAATGGACGACGCCTTGGAAGTACTGATCCGTCTTGACCAACAGACGCACTTCATGGTTGAGATTAAGCAGCTGGAAGCCGTTCGGGTTTGTAATCTTCCACGCGATTGCTCTCACTAAATCCATTCCTAGATAAGAACCACATCCTGCGCGTCGGAGGGCGCAACGAAAACGCAGAGTTGGGACATGACCAGCGATTTCCATTGATTCTTCCGAAGTCTACCCCGCTCGTTAAGCTTTTAATAAAACAAGCCCACGAGACTACGCTCCATGGAGGGGCGCAGCTAATGCTACATACCCTTCGCCGCAAGTTTTGGATTCTGCATGCGAGGCAAGCCGTCAAGAGTTTTGTTCATAAATGCGGAGTGTGTCGTCGCCATCGAGGACTGCTGTTCAAGCAGCAAATGGCTCCATTACCCGGGCAGAGAGTCAAGCCTGCACGACCATTTGCTTCGTCGGGAGTCGACTACTGTAGCCCATTTACGCTGTGAATCGGAACTAAGCGTTCTCGCACTCTCGTAAAGACGTATCTCGCAATCTTCATCTGCATGGTTACAAAAGCCGTCCATATAGAAGTGGTGGACGACTTATCGGCGCAAGCTTTCCTCGACGCCTTCACTCGCTTCGTCAGCCGTCGTTGCCCTTGCCGTGACCTATATAGCGATAATGGCACCGCGTTCGTTGGTGCTAACCGTCTCCTCTAGGAGAACTTCGTGGCGAGGCACAGCGAAAGCAATCACCGGGCATTGGCCAGCATGGACCCTCATTGGCACTTCATCACACCCGGTGCTCCGCACCAAGGTGGCCTCTGGAAGGCGGCGGTCAAGAGTGCCAAACATCATTTGGTCCGCTGCGTGGGCGCGCAGACTATGTGGTACAGTCAATTGAAGAATCTGGCTGTGCGCATCGAGGCATGCCTGAACTCGCGTCCTAACACCCCGCTGTATAACGACCCGCAGGAGAAGATTGCATTAACGCCGGGTGACTTTCTGATAGGCGCTCCACTCCTGGCGGTGCCTGAGCCGGATGTCCGCGACATCCCAACCAACCGTTTAAAGCAGTGGCAATGGGCACGGAAAGTCCACCAGGAGTTCTGGAAGCGGTGGAGTGAGGAGTACCTGACCACTCTCCAGAGGCGTAATAAGTGGCAGGAGCGAGCACCAGATATCCCAGTCAACGATATTGTGTTAGTGAAGAACGAGAACTGGCCCCCCACTCATTGGCGTATGGGTCGCGTAATGACCGTGCATCCTGGGAACGACGGAATCGTCCGCAACGTCACATTGAAGACTACCAATGGACAACTCTAACAAACACTTTTAATCCACATGACCATCTTCTTTTACTTAATATGCTATTTTTGTTAATTTTAACGATTTAAATAATGTAAAAAGTAATATCGCAGAATTTTTGCTTCCAATTTTTAGTTTTTATAAAATATTTTCTTTTATTATAAGAAACATGGCGTTAAAGGCGAAAATTTGTAATAAAAGATTGCGCGATTTTTCCTTTTTTATGTTTTTTAAATAGCGCCACAGACGAAAATTTGTAATGAAAAAATCGAGCGATTTTTTATTAGAAATTTTCATTTTTTTTAAATTTAATTAATTGGTATTGTAAAAAATAGCGGCGCAGGCGTAAATATTTCCTTTTTTAATATTGCTTATTAAAAAATACAAAGAGAATGGAAGACATACTGTTAAAGATTATCATCTGGCATCACTGATAATTGGGCATCTGTCGCAGTCAACATATATACATATGTATGTCCGGCCATTATAAAGTTGCTGGATAACGCCATTGTGCCGTATACACAAACATCTACCTATGATATTGTCAATTCTCTTTATATACTGCTACGCTAAGCTCAGGTTTGGGAGTTGTGATTTATATTTTTTTAAAAGTTGTTATGCGCACCTTGTGGTCGCCCAATAAATATTTAATTCAAGCGAATTGCGTTTTTCTGAGTGTTTAGCGAGTTCCTAAACATTTTTGGTGTCTCCTATGAGGAATGAATTCATATCTCGCGATCGGTATTGCTTCAATGAGTTAAGAAATGTCGGCATTAAATCTGCGCACTTCATCACGTACATCAATTTTGCGAATTTGGTCACAAGTGGTATCGAACGCACAAGAAGGTGAAATCGCAGGTCACGATGATTTACTCTATACCACAAAGGCCACTTTTAATAAAATCTGCATTAAATTGAAACGGAAAATGTCACAACCCGCAAAGGTTTCAAACCTGGTGTATAGTCGCGCTTCGGATATGCGTCTGGATCCGGTATCGATCCCTAGTTTCGATGGCCAACCCACAAATTGGCTTGTTTTCAAAGACATGTTCGAAACGCTCGTGCAAAATCGACATGGCTTCGATCCCACCTATAAGCTTGGTAAGCTGCGACAATACTTGAAGGCGGAGAAGGTACTCCTTATTGGTGGGTTATACACCGGCGGGCACGAAGAAGTATGGACCGAACTAAAACGACGTTACGACAATCGTCGCACCTTATCAGAGACCCACGTTCAACGGGTGCTAGATCTACCAAACCAGCCGCTGGAGTCCTGTTCGACACTAAATAACATTTTAGATTGCGTACGTAATTCGTTTCGAGCGCTAGAGGTAATGGATGTGCCCGTTAGGCATTGGGATGCTATAGCTATACCAGTAATATTGCCTAGGCTTCCTACTGTGACCCGAACTGAATGGGGAATGAGTTTAAAGACCAATGCTATTCCGAAGTTAGAAGATCTGATGAGTTTTATTGAACGACGAGCAGCTAACTTGCCAAAGTGTGTAACTGTCAGTACCCAGCCCACAGAGGGACGAGGAACACCGCAATCACTAAAAGCACATGTGTCTGCAACGTCTACTAAACTCGTCGGCTCAGTTGCATCACCAGGTCGCTGCCCATCCTGTTCAGATGTCCATCGCGTCATCAAGTGCCAAATATTTCGGAGCATGTCCGTGGAAATACGATGGGAGTTAGCAAGGAAAGCCGCGTTATGCTTTAACTGTCTTAAGGCCGGTAACAGTACTCGGGAGTGTCAATCGGGTATGTGCGCAAACTGTCAGCAGAAGCATAACAAATTGTTATGCAAAAAGCCGCAGCAAGAGGTTTCGAGACCCCAAACCACTACCTCAACTTCTGCCATTAGCCCTAATAGCGCAGCAGCCACATCCTCCACGGTTGCTCCTCGAGTGCTTCCTCGACAACAATGACAAACGTACGAGGTCCAGTCGCTTTTCCTGCAGTGCGACCTCCTCTTAGCAATGGCCAAGGTGCTTGTATGTGATTATAACGGACTTACGCGAGAATGCCGTGCACTTTGCGATAACGAGTCTCAGGTCAGCTTCATTAGTGAATCGTTATTATCGGCGCTCAATCTACCTAGAATTCCCTGTGAATATCGAGTGCAAGGCATGGATAAAAGTTCTTCAACGCGTACTAAGGACGTTGTCGAGGCTACCATGCAATCCTGTGTAGATAAGGGGTTCCGAATCAACGTTAGTAGCTATGTGAATGATTCAATTACACCGGAGACTCCTGCCGCTGCTATCGATGAAGAAGGCTACCAGCATTTACGTGATCTTCCATTAGCTGATCCAACATTTGGTCTTCCAGGGCCGGTAAATTTACTCCTTGGAGCGGACATCTGGCCGTCATCGTTATATATATTATTGTTATATATTGGAGCCCAGAACGAACCATGTGCATTGAATACGCGTTTAGGTTGGATCGTACTTGGTCCAACAGCAGCTAATACATCCGCGTCGCCACTCCTCTCATTGGTAGCGGACGTCGGCAATGACGATAACACTATACACAACTTTTACAGCGGTTCTGGGAGATCGAAGAGCCATCTATTGAAACAATGTCCGAAATAGACGTTTGTGAAGACTGTCACGCGATGTTCAGATGGTCGATGCTGTATAGAGATACCGTTCCGTCTCGATGCATCGCGCTTGGAAGGTCACACCCAGCTGCCCTGCGACAATTTTTTCAACTCGAAAGAAGACTAGAAATCGACTCAACAATGAGGGAGAATTATATTCGGTTTATACACGAGTACGAGGACCTAGGGCACATCGAGGCTGTTGATATCACCGATGAAGATCCGAGTCAATGCTTTTACATACCACATCACGCGGTTACGACTAAATTCCGTGTAGTGTTCAATGCTTCAGCAAAAATATCAACCGGTGTGTCTTTGAACGACACGCAATTTTCTGGGCCACCACTGCAAGATAATTTATTTGACATCCTTCACAGCTTCCGTCGCTATGCTGTAGCCCTAACATCGAAGGTGGCAGCAGCTTCTTTGGAGAAAATCCCTGCATGAACACTTGCGCACCTTCAAAACTGTAACATACGGTATGGCAAGTGGGCCTTTCAACGCCATTCGGACATTGAAGCAATGTGCTCTTGAAAATTGGGGAGTTATCGCCGACGTCAGCCGGGGAGCCGCAGCACGAGACGGCATTCTCCAAAGCTTCTATGTCGACGACTACTTAGACAGTGTTCACACTGCAGAACTGGTTATCAATCGCGCGCGCGACGTTGGTGACATTCTCCGGCAAGGTAAATTTGAGTTAGCAAAGTGGAACTCGAAT